CAGGGGTCAGCGATTGTATGAATCAACACTTAGCCAGAGCACGTCTTCTTGCCACTGCCCCTCTCTCGCGAAGCAGTTGTAATGAATTCTCCTCGATTGAATCACAGAAGCAACAGAGGTCGTTAGACCAGATCCCTAGCTCATGCAGGTGACCCCTTAGTCTACCATGTCAGTGCCATGTCAGAATGCCTGTTATTACGCTTAATCTCTCGTTGGGGTGTTTTATGATTACCCTATACTTTATAGGTTGTGGCCTCCCAATAAGCATTTAGCCTGGGATAGAACTCAAATGTTGGGAAGGCCTTAAGTGCAGCTGGCCTTTTTATTACTCAACATGCATATATATGTAGTACGATGTAAAGATCATTCTTGCATATGTAGTTATGTATGATATGTAGTTTGCTATACCGTTTAGTAGGCCATTAAATTTAGAATAGTAAAGTGCAAGTTTAAAATGGCTAGAAAATACCAGCGGTATTTTTGGCAAATTTTATTGTTGATGGTGTTGTGTTACGCATTTTATTCCATACGAAGTATGTTCGACAACGTTTTTATATGACCAACACCTTCAACCAAAAAAAAAATACTCGAAATCAAGGGTAAGTCTTAGTTAGAATTTTTCTAAAAATGATTTGGATCAATTACGTTATTTGTTTAGAATTCACAAAAATGGGAAGGGTAGGCTATTTGCGTTCAAAGGCAACGATGGTCTGCTATTAGAACTTCTAAACGCAATTTTTTTCTCTCCACCCTAATGTACATACATACATATATATATATTACATAGGTACGAGTGTACATACATGCATATATGAATGTCTAGACGCGTACATGTACATATGCACATATGTATGTAGGTATTCATTTATCAGGAAAATGTTTGCCGACATTGATGATGTGATGATTGCAGCAGCTACAATTGCTGATAACAACACTACACTTAATGAATCTTTAAATAGAAACAACGTGATAAAATCTGCGCGGTTGTAAAAATGTTCAAAAAAACAATAAAAGTAGCAAACAATCTAAAAATGGATATATAGAATAGGTTAGGAGGGCCTGTATGAAGTGTTCCATACTCTCACTCAAGAGGAGACTCATTCCCCGAACCGGTATTACATATTCAGAGAGAAATGAGGACATTTTTCGTGGCATTAAACCACTAAACCAATTGCTATCCAAAATAAAATTGGGGGAATCGAAGAGTTTCACCTCCGCTATCTCCACCAGACTATTGAATAGGCGTGATCATAAGAGCTTGAGAGTTTGGGCTATAGGTCCGGGCAGCGACATTGAAAATTGTCAATTGATTCCTCGTCATTTTCAGTGCGGCAGTTTCCACAGAGAATTTCACAAGGTCTTCTATCTCTTTCCAACTAATCCGAGGCCATAATAGGCTTCAGATCTCACAGTTTTCCCGCTTGTTCTACAAGTTATTTGTAGTAACGGCTATTGTGTGTTCTTCAAATTTTCGGAGTTATCTGCCTCGATAATTGGCACATTGGAGCCACATCTGACCATCTCATCAGCCGACTCGTTCCCTTCAATATCACTCTCAGCAAGGAGTGACGTTGACGTGGCTCACTAATGCCAAAGTGGCACGGCATTTTCATACAATCCCCGACTTCATTATCTTACGTCCCGCTGCTTTCAAGGCCGCTTAACTATCGAAAAATATAGCAACTTTCCCATCTGGAAGCGTACAATTCAATAACAGGGCGATCCAAACACCTGTTCACAATTGGTAGGTTCAGAAGGCGCAGCAGTTGAGCGCAACCGTTGCTAAAAAAATCAGTGATCGTAATGTGTCTTTTGAACGGCTTGATACATTAGCTGTCAAATTCAAAACACATAACATGTTGTCTCAAATGATCAGAAAAATATTACGATCATCTAACACGCAACTGTTCAGTTGATCAGAAGTACAAAACAACGCGTTCAGAAGGTGCAATCGCAACATTTACTGAGCTGTTGCGCCTTCTGAACGTGCCCAATGTCAGNATCAGAAGTACAAAACAACGCGTTCAGAAGGTGCAATCGCAACATTTACTGAGCTGTTGCGCCTTCTGAACGTGCCCAAAGTCATCTCAATCCTGCTCAGCTAACACCCCTCTCCCTCTGGTCCAACCCCGTTGAAACAGCTCGTTTACTGGGCCTACCCGTAGTTGAGCTTGACGAAAACGATTGATGGACAAACCGACCTATGCGGGCCCCACTAATTTTTTCGTAAACGTGACCGTTAACAATATTTTCGCCAAAAACCCGTTTATTGTGACTTTTGCCACAAACGAGTGAGGTCTATTATAGCATTATGTTTTTTCGAGTCACAAAAATCCAGCAATCCCTCACCTATTGAGAAGTTTGCGCTTTTTTTGTATTTATAGCGGAGATACATATGTAGCCAGATGGTATATTTTTATGAATTTGTATAACATTGCGTATACATAAGTCCCGCATTTGTACTTGTATATCGTGTATACTTTAGCGTTGTGAAGGACGTTGGTTACAAGCAGAATATAGCAGAGATGCCAACTTTGGGGAAATTCCCTCAGAATGAATTGTTCCGGTAAATCGGGAAATGACTTAAAATTTTGTAGTAATTGGACTTACAGATGAAATTATGGCCGCACCACATTTTGGCAAGTTTTAACACATTATTATTTTTTTTTTGCTATTTAATTTTGGTTATTTAAAAAAAAAAAGATAGTTAATTCTTTAACAAAACCGATGTAAATACAAGTTTCAAACTTTTTGCAATATTTAAAAAACATCAAAAAACTTTTGTAAAGATTTAAAACTTTTTTATTAGATTTCCTACAAGAATTCTGAGTATGCAGTTTTGTAGCCCATTGAGTTCTAGTAGAATAAGGTACAAATTTCAAATGGCTTAAAGTTACTGTTGATTTTTAAGAATTTTTTTGCTCCATTTACTTCTATATAACGAAAACACACAATTTATTTTTATATGGCAGATAACCGTAACATCTTCCACAAAAAAATCTAAAAAAAAAACAAAAAAACAATAAAATGTGGTGCGGCTATAATTTTTCCGACCACTGTATATAAAATGGCAAGTGTTTCTTAAAGAATGGAGCCACACATTTTAGGAAATATCATTTAAAATGGAATTTACTGAGTTGGCATCCCGGCCAAATTACATTTAAAAATGCTTGCAGTTAGCAACTCAATATGCTTAGTGGATTTATTATGCGTGCCTTGATATATTGACGTGTTAAGCATATCGCTCATTTAATTCAATAGAGTCATAATCCAAAAAATACAAATCTTGAGTTAAGTACGCATAAATTACCGCTACCTCTTCTTCTATCGAATACCAGTAGCTCCCTAGAATAAGATATTTTTGCTCTCATTGTTACTATAGGAATATAGATATGTAAATTAAAAACCCCTTTTTCTCGAGTCTGGTTTCTTTTTTTTTGAGTTATGACACTATTGAAGTAAATGAGCGATATGTATACACATATGTATACATACATACATACATAAGCAAATAGTGGCATATTCATTTGAAGACGCACTATAAATTTTATTACCCTCTTTGTTAACTAACTATATAATCAAAAAAATAGAAAATAGTCCAACCACTCGAAAATGTTCGCTACCGTTAAAAAAATTAATAATACGAATATGACTGGATTTAAATTTATAACGGCACTGCGTCGCAGAAATGTTTGAATCGAATTTAAGACATGAATAGTAAATTAAGACATCGATGTGAGGGAGGAATTACCTAATGAAGTGCACCAGTGACTGGGCCATAAATTGATGTGTCCACTACAATCCATCAAGACAGGTGGCAATTAAGAAATCTACAGCTATCACAAGACATACATACATATAGCTTGGCCATAAAGAAGTTGTTGATTTCTTAATTGTTTTATTATTGCTTATGGTGATTTCAAGATTTTCTTTTTGTACTTTGCACCCACCTTCGCTGCGACGTGATGATTGGAGTGTCCAGTAATGTATGGTTTGCAAAATGATATTCATGTGAGTAAATATATTTTTTGTATATATAAATACCTACATATCGTCCCCCATATGCTAGAAACATGAATGTGTAAAACTGAAAAGTTTGGGAAATCAAGGTTGAAGTTAAAATTTTGAAATCACCGTGGATGACCTAGTTTTATTCATAGAACAAAAATAAGGTGGTGTCCCATACAAATTTAAGATTTCCATATTTTTAAGGACCACCCTATTGTGAAGATATAGTACGTGCTTATGAGGGAGTTACTACATAGACGTTGCTTGATTTTCAGGCTTAACTCCGCCTCTAGCTCTAAAAGCAGTGCATATTTTTATGTCTTAAAAGGCCATCGAATTTTGAAACTAGTGACTCAATCTGCAAAATGTGCAACGACAATCAGGTTTATATTCAGGTAGGGTCATCGACGTGAATTTGCAGCTGCGACTTAACCTTCTTTGTTCATGTGGTAAAAATGGCTTTTATGAAAGGGTAACCCTGATCTCATAATATGTGCTTCGATGCGTAGCCTATTGAAACCTACCGAGTGCCTAGCTTCGATTCCTGGTCTTTTTTTTCAAAACGCGTTCGCCCTCCGGCAGGAGCAAGCTTCCGAGTGTAATTCCGCCATGAAAAAGCTTCCCATAAAAACCATGGCCCCTTTCCTAGGCGGCGTAAAATGTGGGTAGCTCGTCGAGACTCAACGCTTTTACTATACATACTATTAAAATTGAATCAACTTACATAGATATATATTTTCTCCTTTAAGGAATTCAAGAACGCATGAACAATTTTTTTCTAGATTTCCCTTCAATATGAACGACAAATCTCAACAAGAAAAACTTCGTCCGATTTAGCACTCATTTAAAAGCTAAAAAAGTGAAATGAAACTGCTGCATTTAAATTTAAAAATAACAAATTCGAATACCTTCCTGTGTTTTCGAAAACGATGTATAGCTAACGGGTGGCAGACTATGTTTGCTTCTAAATACATATTTAGTGGGATATGTTGTACAGGACAAGTTTTTAATTTAACGTCGACATACTTTGCTATATATTGTTTGTAAATGGTGTTAAATTATATTATAATTACAATAAAAATCGAATGTATTGCGCTTTTTGGAAAAAACAACTTATGTAAATGTGTATATGTACTTTAAAAAACTTCTTTCTTTTGGCTCCTCTGCACGATCAGATTTATACGAATATTCCTCACTTAAGTATGGACCACTTGAATTGCTCGCGCGCTGATTGCAACACCTGCAAGTGTAATAGATTTATGTAAAAAAGGAATATTTATTAAAAATTTCACAAGTTTTAGTTAAATTTTAAAGTAGGTGGTTAGTATTTGTATGTCAAGTAAATATTAGAATTCTTTGACTTGCTTTTATTTATTTTGTATTGACATAAGATAACAATAGTAAGAAGGATATGGAAGCACTTCTATATTGCAATAAAATGTTTCCGCTTTAGCAGCTGCTCTTGCCGATGTCATAAAAAGAATGTTTAAAAAATATTAAATAAATTAATTATAAATTAGATTGTGTTTTTATAGAAAAATCATTTTTGAGCTGGCATTAGAGCAAAAAGAGTAACACAAGCAAAATAAAAGTTTAAAGCCGTTAAAATAGTTAAATGCTACAAACTACATACATACGTCCAAACATAATTTGAGGAAAAAAATAAACGAATAGTTTGTAACGTTCTGCATTCGGGTATTTTTTTTATTTTTGAAATTTTTGCTTAGCTTAAAAATAGGCATTTAACCGAAGTACACTTATAATTGGTTTTTGTGTGTTGCAAGAATTTTACTACAATGTTTTCTTAACTAATTGTAAGGATTTTTCTACTCGGACGCTTGGCGTTCATAACCAGGCACTTTTTTACAATAGCCGCAAGCAACTACTACTTCTTGTGTGCACAATTCATACTGTGTATAATAACTTAACTTTGCAAACCAAGAAATTATCATATAAATAAAAGAAATTTGTAACTTAAATTTATATGAGAAACCAAATGTGTGTAAATTAATAAAATAGTTCGACCTTATTAATTTCGCTTTGATTCGAGTGCACCAATACAAGATAATTGCCACAGACTACCATAATAGTCCATTTATTTTATTAGTTACCTGCGCGACGGTCTGCTCTGCAATGGGAATGTCATCGTTGCGCAAATCCACACGTTTCACCACGGACGATGGATCGGCATCCAATATAACGCTGTCAATATAGAATAACGCAATTTAACCAAATATTTTTATTACACAGAATCAACTTTTGTTTTGGGATGCGCCCTATTTTACATACCCGCCATCACAGATCTCATCAAACGCCAGCATAATGATTTCCAAATTTTCCAAAACCAAGCGCTTTTCCACATTCTTCTTCAGTATCAAACTTATCGTGTCATATAGGCAATTCAACACCGACAAGAGTATCAGTTCATTTTCATAGGCACTGCCCATCACATAGAAAAACAGATCCACATTACTCTTGTAGACGCAGGTAAGGCCGTCCAACATAATAATTTCCGTATTGGAACGATGTGTTTTGGTGAATAGATTCTTTTCAAAAGCCTTCTGCTCCTTCACTGTGGGCAAGACATTCTTGTCATAGTACTTGGCCAAGATGCGATTGCCATCGTTGTCCATGATGCACATGCCTTTGATGATGTTAAGTGTGGGCTCCTGTGGGAACAAAAAGTAAACATTTTTGCTAATTTATTTGTTTAAATGTATTTTATTTATAGTTTACCATCATGAATCCGTCCATTGCTAACTGATTATTTGCTACAAATGACGTCTACTTTGTTTTCATTTTGTTTTCAAGTGTCATTCGCTGTATTGCACTACCGGAAGTACAGGGTGAGTATATTTGACAGTTTACATTACACGTCATCCGTAACTGTCAACACGCTGGGAGTAGGCAACACTGGCCACAGGCCACTGGACTTCCGAGTTCATTTCGTTCCAAACCGGTTACGGAATAAGGTTTTGAAATAAGATAACCGGATAACAAACCACACCGTCGTCTGTTGAGTTTGATCCCAGACGGTAACCGGAACTCGCATAGGCAAAATAGGAAATAAGAATTTATCAAATAATCATTCACAATGGATACTGACAGCATTTCAAATTTCGTAACAAAACAACAAATTCCAAATATTTTTGCTCTTTCAGCAGCATTTGGGGATAAAATAGTTATTTCACATAAATACAAATATATTTTTATACCAAATGGAAGTTATACAGAGGGTGGATCAGGCTACAGTCACTGATACGCCTAAAGTTAAGCGCCGATCTAAAGAAAAAATAACGAAAATTGTTGAAGGAGCAACCGCAGGCAACGATGATGCTGAAGTGGGCACTAAAAAGGTGCCAAGAACTCAACTTAAAAAAAAATTGACCGACTTATCAGCAGAAAATCAAAACCTAAGCCAGGCTATTAGCGCGAAAAACGCAGAAATATCAGATCTAAAACGTTCAGTCCAATCTCTAAATGAAGTGCTTAACTCAGTGCCTATTGATGAACTGCGATGCAATTCGTCAATAGCAAGCTCGAAATTATTGGAGCTAAGCAAGAAAAACCGCCAATTACGTGCCGAGTTGGAAACTACCAAGAACCGTGTTAATAAAAAGGAAATGCAAATACAAAAACTGGAACGTGAGCTAAAACACGTCGAGGATAGAGCACACAATGCAGCGGCTGAGACACACAAGGTTTGCTGCGCACGAAAACTTGATAGCTTTTAATATATGCGCTCTTTCTTGCCCTCCTTCCCACTTTCTTTAGGATGCCTCGGATGAGCTGCGCGCCAAGCTAACCGCACTACAGCAAAAGTTATTTGAGACCCGCAATAAAAACTCTGAGCTACAATGTCAACTTAAACTCGCCCAAAAATGTCTGCAACAGGAAATCGGTGAACATTTCAATTTAGCTACAATGGCAGCCCAAGCACATAACTCTAATTGGCGTGGTCGCGCACAACAAATCCTGCATCTACAACAGAAAATTCATGAATTAAAGGAGCGGCTGGATATTGTGGACAGGCATTGCATGGATGGACGTCCTATTCCTTATGGCTCTGATGGCATCACTCAATCTGAATCGGCACCTACGAGCGCCGCAAAGAGTGTTGGTGGTCGTCCGGGCAGACATGAAGAGGCGAAACTTGCAACGAATGCAAGTGCAACCTCATTTGATCGCTACAATACAGTCGTGCGGAAGACAGAAATACTGCATCGCGCTAAGGTTGAAGGCCTGGAGAAAGAAATTGTCGCACTTAAAGGGCAATTGGAGGAACAACGTGGCAAAGTGTTGGCTCTGAAGGTGCGCAACAAAACACTCAATGACGATGTGTTGAAATTTAAGATAAAAGCCAATTCGTTGGAGGAGCAAACTGATTATAATGGCTTAAATTTAGCGAATATGAATGAGAAGATGAATGTGCAACGCTATCACTATGAAAATCGCTTGGAAGAGATGACGCGCCAGTTGAACGATTTGAAGCGCATACATAAGGATGGTGAATTTCGTGAAGAGGAGCTGCGGGTTAAGTTGGAGAATATGGAAAATTTAGTACAAGGCAAAGATACGCATATTGAAGAGCTTAATCAGAATATAGCGCGTTTGGAAACTGATCTCAAAGCTTTAGCGGGCGGTTTTCTTTTCTCATGTCGCGAGCTGCGCAAAGTAGGAAATAAAAAAATTCAAAACTTCTAGTTCAATTTATTGCACATACTTATATTAACTTTTAATATATTTCAGGAGGAATTCATCACTATACTCGACGCATTAGAAGCTGAAAAAAATCATTTACTCGAACACAATAAAACACTCATTGCACGCAGCGAACAGGATCGTATAAAGAATGAAGCGCTTCACGAGCAGGTGGCTAAACAAAACGGGCGCATATCACGCTTAGAATCGCGCATACGTGAGCTTGAGAAGGAATTGGAAATGCAGTCAGAGCGGAAGAAACGTACGCAACGCATTGCGGACTATGTAAACAGCGTGAGTTCTTCAGTGTCATCAATGCGCACCTTCGTCTTTGAGAGTTCTTCGCTGAATAATCTATCGCATGCAGCGGTTGAGGAGATGACACAAGCGCAAATTTATCAAATGAAGCATGAGTAAGCAAATATCGCTAGGATATTATAGTTTTTTAGATAAACTTATTCTTGCTCTTCATTTTTTTAGGCTCGAATATGCCAAGGAGAAGCTAATCTATTTGACTGAAAAGGTGTTGTATTTGCAGGAAGAGAAAGAAAATGATGCGCGCGCCTTTGCTGATATAATAAACAGTTCAAAAAGTGTTGTGTTGGATACAATATTGAAGAATCGAAGCAGTGCTTCGCTCTCAGTGGAAATTAACACTGGGGAATCGTTATGAAATGGGCATTTACAAGAACATTTGAAAATACGTACGAGTGGATGTCGCATGGACATGGAATCTTATGTGTATAAGAATATTTAAATCTGTCAGTTACATATAAGCTACCTACATAAACTGCGATTAGAAGTTTTGGTTACAGATATTAGAAATTCGCTTCAAATCGATTCGCTTATCAGTACGAGAGCACATGATTTGTAGTTTTTAGGTGTGAATTTGCTACGTAGGTGAGCCTTAAAAACTAATTTAGAAATTAAAAGACTTAGAGATTGCTACGTAGCAACTTTACGCCTAAAATGCTACAAATAGTGAACTCCCCTAATATTACTAATTGTTATAAAAACTTTTAGTTTTGTGGCCAATATTTGCGCGGTCTTTAAATCTCTTAATATCTAAAACATATTTTAACCCAAATTTCCGAAAATTGTAATATTCAGGAATTATCGATTTATATTAAAAAATTATATATATACCATTAGCCACTGAGTCTAAAATAAAATTATAATTTGAAACTACATACCTTATTATCGCGTAAATACCAACACTGCAAGCTACACATTTTCACCCTCATTGCGAGAGTGGTGTCGTACGCAAGTCTTTTTTCGAGAGTCGAATCGTATCGCAAATTGCACGTCATTGCCTAAAATTTCCATTCGACTAGTGTATTAAAACGGAAAAACTTGGCAGCACTGTATAGTTTTCGACGATTTTCGTCATTTACTTACTTCAGCACGACAGTAAACAATGCCAATGTTGTCGAGTCGTACAATTTAGCCTAATTTACGACTTACGCAATGAGGCTGTTTATATTTGAAGGTGTGTGTATTAATAAAAACACATTTAATAAGTTTAACTTAACTTTGCTATATTTATTTATAAAATGATTTCTTGAGTAACACGTATCTGATCAGTTTTCGTTTTTCATATTTATCTATTGCACTAAATATTTACTACATTATCATGCAATTATTTAATTAGCTTATGGTTTTTATTTTATTGCATACGAATTAAATGCATACATATTTCTGAAACATTGTATAGGTTTATCTCGCGTGATCGTTATCTGTTATTCGAGTAGTTTCAAAAGCTTTATGATTGTATTGTTTTGAATAATTGGTGCACATATGAATTTTTTATATGCGATATTATTTATATTTTACTGTACATAAATGAGTGTTGAGTCGTGCCGAATGATATTGGAGAAGTCAAGGCGCAGGCGAAGAAATGTTTGGTGTCATATAGGGTTTCTTCGCAACGCGGATTAACATATATTGGATGTGAAGTCTGTATAAATAGGAGTTTGCTTTCTACAGCAGCCAGTGCTTAGTTGTGCCATTGTTGGACGAGTCTCTCGAAGCAGCTGAAGCTCTTCATCAGCGATAAGTAGTGTTAGGTAAGGGCGAGAGTTGGAAAATGTAGTGACCAAGGGAGACCCAAGAAGCGTGCAGCTTCTATAGGGTCCGTCCATAGGAACAGAGGCGTTACTTTGGGCTATTGCGGTCCGAATCTCTGTGAATGCCGTTCAAGGCCTGTCGATATGCTGTCGGGTCCAGCGGTTGCTTTATGGCAAGTGGAGGCAAGTGTCCACGTCTGTGGCTCCCTACCAAGAATTGCTTGCAGAGCATTAAATTATGCTCCATAATGTCGTCAACGTCGTCTCCAGTGGTTGAGTTATGAATGTCAGGTTCCCGTAATCCGTGAGTTCATAAAAATGCTTTCTACAGTGCCTGGGAGAAGGTCCTGAATCTCAAAAATCCGCTCGAATTCTTAGCCACTTGAAACTTAAATAAAACTGCATACAAGAAATTTTTTCTAGAAATTCTGATTAAAAAATTTTAAATTGCCTTACGTACTATATTTTAATATCCGAAACTTGAAAATTGCAGATGTAGGGTATTGAATATAATATAAGCCCTCGATATCTAAAGTTCATCTTGTTTGTTATGCCTAATTTAATAAAATATTTTTTAGGGATACAACAGAGTTGGTATTTGTTTTAAAAATATATACATATGATTTTAAGGGAGTGATTAATTTTAAAACGTTTTTTTCCCCATTTCTGCTTTTATTTTTATTTTAATTACTTCAAAAACCGGCTTGCTTCATTACAATCTGGCATCTCCACTATTTGTTATATTAACATTTAGTACATAATTTAGATTTTGCAACACTGCTTTGGGAAAAAAATTGTATAACTAACGTAATATGTTAGTATTTATTCGTTATTTGTATGTCAAAAAAATGGTTATGCCTGTATAGTAGGATGGTCTTCAAAATATTAGATTATTTATCAGATTTCAGTTGCAAATTATGTAGAATTTTTTTATTAAACATTTTTCAAATCCGATAGCGAACCCTAAAAGTTTATTTAAAACATGAAATATTCGTGGATGTCTTTATTTTGTACGTACAAAATTTAGATGTTAACATTTTAAGGACCACCCTACTGTATTGTTAACGAGACCTTTTTTCTCAATTAGTTTCATACATGTATGTACGTATGTACATATGATGTATCTATAATAACAGATTTTTACATATAACATACGAATCTACAGTCTTATGAGGTATTCTTTCATAACGCTACCCTCACATACCTGCCAATTTTTCTTTTAATATAAAAATTGTTTTAAAATATATTCATAAAAAATACAAGCTTTCAAACTGGCATATTGACTTTGCAGGTTATTTACAAGGTCATTTCCAGGTCCACCTTAAAGCTGCCTTTTTTTGTAGATTTTTGCAGTCGACAGAACTTGACCCGTGTAAATGCAGCTTTAGTGTTAAGCCCCAGTTTTAATCACGTATTCGGTTATAACGGGAAAGATATGACACGTGCAGATATGAAATCAAGTATTGGGGCCATTTGCCCCCAAGGTCGTATGAAGGGCAATTCCTTCCAAGGGTTGACCTTCGATCCGACTTGGATCTCAGTTTTAAGGTCCGTTTGTCTTTATGAGGTGTTGCATGTGGATTGTAACTAATATGAACACAAAATAAATTATATGAAACAAAATTTTAAACTTTAATGTAAAAAGCTGAAGATTTTTTTAAGGGAAAATAATGTTTTGTGTTGAAACTAAGCTCAAATATAATATCTACATACCTGATTTTATCTGAAGTAATGGGATTTTTCAGCTAAAAAATTATGTTAACCTTGAAAACACATCCAAGTTCAATATACCCCCCGTCATTGAAATAATTAATTTTTTGTTTAAGGAAAATGTGCAGGTGTGCAGTAACATTCAGAAAGAATGCCTCAAATGTATTTTTATTTATTGTAGTTAAGCATTTTAGGTGTATGCAAATAAAAGGCACTTTAGGACATACATTTTTTATGCATAATAAGAATTTTTTTGTTATTTCGAACTACATTTTGTTTTTTAAGAATTTTTCCTATCTAGTGCATTAAAGGTTGGGTAAAAATTAACAAACGCTTATTAAGCTATCAAAATTTTATGTGCAAGCGCGATGTCTCAAATTTTATAAATACTAGTACTAGTTGTTTACATTTGTAAAAATGCTAAATATTTTAGTATTCAGTCCAATAGGATTCACTAGAGGCTTCATCAATTGATAACCGGCTATTACATCGATAAAAGTCATTGTTTATAAAAAGCGGTTGGTTTGTTAGTGATTGGTTTTTAATTTTTTTTTTTATTAAATGTGTGACATACATATATTTTTTCACCTAAATTGATATTTTATTATAAAATTTTTCTTTAATACTTAATTGTGTGTACTTATTAGGTATTTATTAATGTATAGTAATAATTGTTTTCATTTACTCGCTTTAGTCTTTACTGGATATTATGTCAAGTCAATTTTGCAAATTGCTAAAAATTCGTTCGAATTTCATTTATTTAAATGCCTTTACCTGTGTTTGGTCTAATGTTTATAACTTTTTATAAATACTTATAATGTATAAGTAAATATCTATATTTTTTACCGACTTCAAAAAACGAGGAAGGTTATCAATTCATCGGAATATTTGTGTATTTTTTTAAGTACAGTAACGAACAAAAATATAGTTCATACTACAATAAAAAAAATGCCAAAAATTAATGCTATTTTTTAGCAGCTTCAAACTTGCTTTTTGTTGTACTAAAATTGAATGGTCTAAAAAAAACTGAATTTTTCCAAAAAAAAAAATCTGATTTGAAAGTCTCAAACTAGTATGCAAATTTATTGAATTTTCCTTAGTTTTACACAAAGTTTATTGATTTTATTTGCTTTGTTGTGGTATGAAATAGATTTTTATAAAAAATTGGCGAAAATAAATTGGAATAAAAAACTATGCATTCACTGTGAAAAATTCTCTGTGCCAATACTTTTGTTCGTCACTGTATGTTACTTGAGACCACGTGAACCGTTTCCGATAATTCTTTTTGTATCGGAGAGGTGGTACCGCAAGTGTGGTCCCATACTAATATGGTTTAGTTCCGATTAGTGGATCATGAAGAGATTAAGTCGGTTGTATTTTTTGCTTAAAAATTACTTTTTAGCCTTTGCATTACCCATTGGAATTATTTTGCTAAAACAAAATTTGGCGCATTGTATGCTGATACTAATTGGGTAAACGATTAAATACGTAGACCATTCGCAGTCCAAACAAAATCTAATGAAAATGTGTATTTTTAGAGTGCGACTGCAGAACAACCGTTAAGTTGACAAAGGAAAGGAAATGAGTTACAATTGTCTCCCTATATTAAGTATTAACATAGGCTAGGTTAGGTTAAGGTGCTTGTCCTTTTTCAAGGGTGACTCCTATGAACTACTCAGAAAGTACGAATTCAAGCGCCTAAGCCGAAATCTACTAAAAGCTGGGCAGTCGTAAGAGGAAGAGTCGAGATGATTCCACGTCATCGTCGTCCTCCATGCAGCTGTGATAAAAGAGGTTCGTTGTGATATTTAATCTCACTGCGTGAACCCCGTTAGGACGGTGGCCCGTCATTACACCTACTCCGGCTTTGCGAGCCTAAGGAGATCCCTCGACCGCACCCGGCCCACCCACGCCCAGAAAGACCTCGCAGTAGCACAAGTATTGGTTTTTCGCCAAGCATTCGCTGAGTTGACACGAGGCACGAAATCCACAAATAGTAGTTAAGGGAACTCCCACTTTACCATTTCTTGGCGATATTACCTCTGCCCTGCTCATAAGCCGCACAGTTGTCTGCGATATCGCTATGACCTGGCACCCATACAAGACTGACATGGTAATAATCCGACGCGATAAGAACTTAACTAAGGCATTCTCCTACTAGCTTCTAGCGTTTCGTAATGGAGCCTATGACTCTGATGGACTCTAGTAACGATATATTGATTTTCGATTACTTAATTTTAACGGTAACGAGATTCGTCTGAATACCCCGGTTATGCTTGATGAAGAAATGCCTAATATTTAGCAAGCGGAAGAACTTAACTAAATCTCATATCTATCTTTTTTGTATTTTTGTATATTTGTTGTAACAGATAAAATAAACACTACCCTTGAGGATGCTAAAAAAGTTTTAGCGAAACGTCGGGTGAAAAGTGGAACAAAGTAGTTTTATTCGCACAAGAACTGAAAAGATCAGACTAGCCTACAAACATAAAATAAAATAAATCTCATATCGTTCGCTTGCTGGAGAGAACGTCGTAATCCAAAAAAAAAATATTATTTTTAGTTAAATATGCAGCAATGCCCGTAAGCCCTTCTTTTTCGTTTTTAGGAGGGGCGAAAAAAAATGGCGGAATAAACGAGGAACGATGTCGTTCCCACGACCGTCGGGTCTACGTAACCGGAACGACCCAGATTTATATTTAGCCAAGGACTGTCACTCCAGCAACACTCCCCAAAAACTCTTTGGGAAATTTGTAAGCTGTTACAACAACAACAGGAGGAATGTGAAAGTAAATATTATTTGCCATTTTCCAATCTAAGCCTAATACAATTTTCAGATTGTTCATAAAGCGTATTTACTTTAGAAAATCTGATTTTTAACGGAGAGCAATAGAAATCCAAATCATCAACTTCTTTTTAATCGGCCAATAAGTTCATTGGAATTAACTAAATAAATATAGTAAACTGATATTTGATATAAGGTTATACATTTTTAAATTTTTCCGAATTTATTTATTCAAATTATTATCGAGAAAAATGCAACCACGTGCCACAATTCTTGCAACTGGGACACTCATATTTTCTTGAGAGCGCAAACTGCTTTAAGCAATTTTGATAGAAGACAATTTCTTTGTTATTTCTTGGGCGTTTTTTATAAGAATTTCTTCTTTTTCTTGAGAGCTGTATACTAGGCTTTACTCAGGTTTAAAATGATAATCCCAAGTGGCATCTGCAATAGCGATTCCGTTCAAAAATTATTTCCCATTCGCAGTATACAGCTCACACGCTGTTGTTGTTGTTGTTGTTGTTCTAACAGCATAAAAATTCACCTTTTAAAGAATGTTGGTCAGATATCAATCTGCGTCGCACACCCGACTGTGGTGGGAACGGGTTATGTTCTTTTGATGTGAGATGCGCATAATTGTCATTCATCTTGCGTTTAACTTAGATATAATTAAAGTCTTTGCAATTTGCTTCTCGACTTTTTTAATTCTCAATTCATTTTCTGTGTGCGCTGCGCCTATCGGTTCTTCTATGAACTTCATTGTTTTATGCTTAACAAAAAAACTGCTACTTATAAATCATAGTTTTTTACTGGGCAAAATTTCAAAAAATATATATCTCATAATACGCTGTGACGTTTTTCAACCTAAGTGAGGCACTTAATAATCGCATCAAAACCCTCGCATTAGAGCTAAAAGAAATGTTGCGGACCTTACTTTTTTCCGGGCTTTATGCACTTTAGTTATATTGAGTACAAAGAAAACAATAAAGGTCGATAACCAAAAACAATTTAGAATAATCTAATAAAAAAAATTTATATTTCATTACAAAAGTGTATTAATTTTTTACTGCCGCTCCCCAGATTTCGCATTTTAATAATGTTGTATCGAGTGCAAGTGACGAGATTTAATTTATTATGCATTCGGTCGGTTTTTATGATTTCTTTATTGAAAGATGTTTTTTTTGCATTGCTTTACTAATTAAATTTAATTACATTGTATGCCAGTATTTATTGTATTTTGTTTGTAAACGTAGGTACTATATAAATTTTATATAATGCATGTATGTATGTATGTATATTTATAATATATGTAAACTTATTGTAGTATATCTAAGTTGTGATATAACAACAAACACAATTATCCCATTTGCAAATTCTATTCAATTCATATTAGTTGTGTTCATGAGTTCTATTTTTTTTAATAAAAAAATGTGTAATTTTTGCTTTCATAATTGTTTTTTTTTTTCCTTTCTTTTCTTTTGTTCCGTTTTAAACAACAACAATAATTGCGTGTTGGCGCCGCTTTCTCTCATTTACGCTACCTTCATTTCATTCGTCCTGTTTTAACTCCTTATCAGGAGCATTTAATTATGTATAATTAATTATTGAATATTTATGTGCCAAATGCATACCTAGGGACATTTAACACTACACTTTCGCTGTTAGAAAGTGGGCCAATCCAATTCAATTCAATTCAATTCGTTCATTCACAATTTAAATGAAATTCGTTTGGCATAGAGATGATGAAAACCGAAATTATGTAAAAAGACAAAATCAAAAGACATGATTAAAGTAATAATAAAAATCAGTCTCGACTTGCGGTTGATTGCTCGGCTTTTGATTAGTAGTGGATTTCATGTCCCTAGAGTTGTGTGGCTCATGATAATGATTATTATGATGATGTTGATGATGATTATGGTGATTGTGGCTGTGATAATTGTCATCATCGAAATTCTTTAAGTGTTCATTCTCATAATCATTATTGCTATCAGCTATAAATATGTTAATGAAGAATATTAATACGACTACTAAATAAAGAATACAAATTAGTATTACAACAAATTGGTGATGACAACAACAATAATATAACATTCCCTATTATATAACGGCTTGCTCCACATAGTTGGCGGGCAGCATACCGGTTTTGCCAGTGCGTTCGACGCGTCCGGTCATCCAACCAGAATCGGCTGATTCTACTTCAAATATAACATCGCCTTCACGGAAGCTCACTTCATCGGTATCTTGGGCTTCGTAATCGTATAGAGCACGGTAGAC